CCAGCTGAGGAGCCCCAGGCTCCCCCTGGGAGCTGGAGTTAGGCACCAGCCTGGTGGCCTCTGCAGCTGAGATGGGTTTGGAAGTGCTCAGCTGGATGCACTTGCACCCTCCATCCCTTTGTACCCAGATATTTCAAGATCCCCTAAATAAGAGAGGGTCCCAAGGGAAAACTTGTAATGCCTGGAGACACCGTCCCTACAAAGAGCGATCCCATGGATGGGCTGGCCCAGCCTCACCTGGCATCAAAGTGGCAGAGGCCTTAAAACCACACAAAAAGAGGAGCTGGGGGAGCCCTGCGGGAGGCCAGGCTGTCAAGGATCAGCCATCTCCAGCCAGCTGTGCAACCTATTTTAGATTAAAATTTAAAAAAAAAGGCAAGCACGGCTTTTCAGGACAAGCGCAGGGTTTGTGCTGGGCTGTAATTCTTGCTAAGGAGGTCTTTAGTTGTAATTAGTGAATAATTTGTCACACCGCTAACGATCCGAGCGTTTACCTTATCCTATTAACTACCAAAATAGTTACCTATTAATAATATTTAGTGCTGCAGGGATCCTGTGCCATCTCCTGGCAGGCACGCCCGGCGCTCCGGGGCATCACCCGCCGGTGCCCACCCAAGGGCTGGACCCCAGCCCCCCTCCCTCCCCCTCGGACACCCGCTCAGCCAGGAAAAAGGGAAAAGCGAGGCACAGAGGGGAGGGACGGATTTTCCAAGGTCACGCACAAGGTTTGAGACAGGGCCGGACTGGGGAGCGGGAGATGAGTCACCGGCAAACCCCGAGGCACGGAGAGCAGCCGGGAGGGTGAAGGATCCCCACGGCAGGGGCTGGGGTGCTGCGATGGGGCAGAGCCCTGGGGAGGAGGGATCCCCTCCAATCCCTCCCAGCCCAGCCTCCCTCATCCTCCCGGGAATTTAAACCCAGGATTTTCCCGAGCAGCCAGCACCGGAGTAACCGGCTATAAAAAGCAACTCCGGAGCCCGGTGCCGCAGACCACGGCTACAGAAATAATTATGACAATAATGTCATTAAAGTCGCGTCAACTCAGCCAAGTTTGGGAAGCGGGCTGGGCGGGCAGAGGGGCGCCCGGAGAGGGGGGACCCCCATCCCTCCCGCGCCCAGCTCACGCAGGGTGCCCCGCACCAGACCCAGATTTTTAGGGTGCCCCCCGTGCGTCAGCGTTTGCTTTGGGGTGCGCAGGGTCACCCCGCCCGGAGCAAGGTCGTGCCCGGTGCGTGCCCGACTCGCTCCCTTCTTTCCCTCCCCATCGGCGCCACCGGGACGCGAGACACCCCGGGGGCTCACCGGATTTCGGGGGGTATCTGTAGACGGAATTAGCGGGGATATCCACTTCCTCCACGCCTGCGTTCTGCCGGCTGGTCAGAGCCCCCATGGCCGGGCCGGGCTCAGCGGGCGGGGGGCGGCGGGGACTCCTCCCGCCCGGGAGCGGGGCCGGGGCCGGGAGCGGGACGGGCACCGCGGGGCTGCGACACTCGGGGCGGGGCCGGCACCGACCGGCACGCCCCGGCCCGCCCCGGCCCGGTCCGGCTCGCCGGTGAGGCGAGGGGACGGGATGCTGCCGGGATCGCCCTGCCCCGGTGTCCCCCACCCACACAGCGGTGCCACTTAGCTGTCCCCCCGCGGTGGCACACGCGTGCCCACAGTGCCACCCGCCTGCCGTGCCCCGTGCCACCCAGTTGCCTCCAGTACCGCTCAGTGGCCCTCCCCGCCACCATCCGCTACCCTCAGTGGCTTCTGGTCACCACGGCCCACCTTCCTCCCATCCTTGTCCCCAGCCCCACCGGGCAGCAATCCCAGCCCAGGGACCCCCAGGGGCACACTGGCCATGGTCCCTCTGTCCCTGTACCCCCTGTCGCCGGCGTGTCCCTGGGAGAAGGAGAAGCCCCCACTTTTCCCGACAGGTTACAGGGGAGGGATTTTGTGCAGCTGTTGGCACAGGGGTTGATTCCCCTCCAGCAGCTCTGGGGAGGGGCCGGGTTGGAGCCCCCTCCAGTGCCCATCCCACCATCCCTGCCCTCCCAGCCCCGCTGCCTCTGCAGGCAGAGCTGCCCGTGCGCTCCAGTGCGCCCCGACACCTTCCCCCAGTCCCCCAGAGTTGAATTGCTGGGAAGCACTGGTCACCTCCTCATTTCCCACTTGGAGCCGAGGAGGAAGGATGGACCCTCTGACCGCTCGCTTAAACCCGCCGGTGATTAATTAGTCCGGCAGCGCCAGTCAGTGGAGCATCACATGATTGTGATTTGAGTTGATAACACGAGTGCTATAAATACCGAACGGGAGATGTGCGGGGAGGCGGATCGGCTGCCCTGATGTCCTCGGCTGCTCAGCGGTGACGAGCAAAGGCCATCCCTGGGGCTCCCCCTTCATCCCCTCCCTGCAGAGGGACACACGGACCCCCCTCCCAGCTGCGGCCTGCCCACACAGCCCCAGAGGCAGCTGAGAAAAGCCAAAGAGCAGGTTTTGTACCTTGTTTGTCAGCCTGCCACTGTCGCACCGGGACCCCCATTCCCAGCAGTGACACCATGTCCGTGCTGCTGGATGTCACACCTGGGGTGGTGCCAGCGGGAGCCCCGGCTGAAGAGGAGCATTGAAGACTCCACGACCTTAAAGGTCTTTTCCACCCCAAATGGCTCTCGGAGGAGCCGAGGGCAGCATCCACACCGGGAGCCTGCTCCAGCTCTGAGCACTGGCGCCCACAGACCCCAGGAGCTGATCCCTGCTCACCCCAACACACATTTTTGGGGGGATCCCTGTAATTTAAAACTCCAGCGTTGCTGAGCTGCCAGCCCCACTCCAGCCAGCACCGACAGAGGAAAACTGGGAGAGGGAGCCCGGCACATTTCATTGCCGGCAGCACACAGCAGACTGCGGGGCTTTAGCGCCGGCAATAATTCAGAGTTATCCCCGTGCACATCCATAACCCGGCAGGCATTACACGCAGAGCTGCTGCCTGCATGCACGGCTCGTGGCTTTTATTTTTTTCCCAGCGATTACTGCAGCAGAGGATTTTGTAGGACAGTGCCGCAGTGGAGCGCGGGAGCCCGGCAGGGGCTGGGTGATGGTTCGGCTTCGAGGGCAGGGTCCCTCCCGGCTCTGCCCGGCTGCACATCCCGGAGAAACCCCAGCAGGGCTGACCCGGAGGGCGAATCCAGAGAAAACGCAACGTTTAGACCCAAAATGCGTGTGCTGCCCGGCGGTGGGATTTGGGATGGCACAGAGAGAGGGTCCTGCCTCCCTGTGCTGAGAGGGAAACTGAGTCACGGCAGAGCACAGCGGGTAATGTTACAAGAGGAGGGCGTGCAGCCCACCCACAGCAGAAAGGGTTTGTCTGTACAGCCAGTCCATTCCCAGTTCATTCCCAGCACGAACTGGGGGGCAGCAGCCCTTCTCCCCTGGGCTGGCTCTGCTCTGTGCAGCCCTGCCGTGGCCATGCCTGGGGAGGGGGTGACCCTTCCTTGGTGCCTGCCGAGGGCTCTGCATTGCTGGGGACCCCCTCTGCCTGCAGGGGTGACCCCCAGGCTCCAGGGGGGTGTCAGGGCAGCACATCTGGAAGAGCACCTCAGCATGGAGAGGTGACAGCGAATCCTGCCCCGAAAAGAGCTCATTCTGAAGAACTCCCAGTCCTGCTGGCTTCTCCAAGTGTCACCAGCACTGCTCTGTCACAGCTTTGGGTGCCAAGGGCCCGTGAGCTGCATTCCCGTGGGTTTGCCATGAGCTGCATTCCCGTGGGTTACCCCAGGCAGGCACCACCCCAGCCCAGGGAAGCCGTGCTCACGGGTGGCTTTGGCAAGAGGAGCTTCTGAGAGCTCGCCAGGGCTGCGTGCACAGGCAGGTGGGTCTGGGCTCCCTGCATCTGCATCTGCTCCTCTCACACTCCACCTGCCTCAAGGCTGGTTTTGCTCCGAGAGGACAAAGCTGACAAAATCCTGCTGGGCAAGCAGGACCCTCCACACCCATTGCTGAGCCCCAGTGGTGGGATGCCCCTGAATATCCCAGGAGGATTCCAGCCACAGTCTGCCATTGCTGGGCTTCACCTCCATGGGGCCAGCAGGATTTTGCAGAGCCCACAGAGGCCCTCACTGCTGGGGTAACCAGCTGCAAATGCAGCTTCGAGTTTCCATTTCTCCTCCTCCTCATTCCCTCTGCCCTGGCCAGCTGGTCACCATCACCACATCCAAACTTCCAGTGGCTCTTCCCAGATCAACCTACTTTCACACCGTGCATTTGCAAAGTCCCTTCTTTATTTGTTTGGGGTTTAAATGCCAATTTTCCTTTTTTAATCAAAACACTTCAAGGCACAAATCGCACAAGTCCCACTCAGATCCTCAAACCTGGTGTGGGGAGAGAACAGCAGGGGAGAGTTCATCCTTGCAGGCTGAGGCTGGAGCTCAAATCCGGATTTTAACCATTAACAAAAAATCCCAATCCCCCTACCCCAAACAGGAGCTGCCCTGAACCCCACAGCCTGTACATGGGAGGAGCATGGGGATAAAGAGGAGGGGTCCCTGGGGATGAAGAGGAGGGGTCCCAGCATCTGGTGAGGGTCCCATTCCCAGGGGAAACTGTGCCCAGATGGGAGAGCAGCTCCCCTCAATGAATCCCCCCCTCAATAACCCCCTAAACAGCTCCTTCCATTGAACGCCCCCCAAAACCAGAACCCCCTCAATAACCCCTGACCAGCTCCTCCCAATGAACGCCCCCCAAACTGAACCCCCCTCAATCATCCCTGAACATCTCCCCTCAATGAACACCCCCCAAATTGAACCCCCCTCAATAACCCCTGAACACACGTGACATCACCAACGCCTCACGACAAAACCCCCCTCACAGCCAATCAGCGGCCGGCTCCCCCCTTCTCCCTCCCGCCTGGCCCCGCCTCCTCCACCCCCAGCCAATCGCCGCGCCGCCTGCAGCCAAAACACAGGCGGCGGCCAATGGCGAGGCGCCGGGGCAGCTGGAAGGTTCGAAGCCGGCGGTGGGCGGGGCGGCGGGGCGCTCCGGGCGGTGCGGGCCGGGGCCGCCCCGCCATGTCCGTCAACATGGACGAGCTGCGGCACCAGGTGATGATCAACCAGTTCGTGCTGGCGGCGGGCTGCGCCGCCGACCAGGCCAAGCAGCTGCTGCAGGCGGCGCACTGGCAGTTCGAGGTACGGGGACGGGCGTCGGGGTGACCCGCCGGGCGAACCGGGGAGCCCCGGGCCGCGATGCGCCCGGCCGGCCGCGGAGCCGCGCGGCGGAAGGCGGTGGGGGTGGCGGCAAGGCCTGCGCGGCCCCGGCCCACCGGCAGGCGGGGCCGGGTTTTGGGGGGTCGTGCCCGCCCCCCGGTACCCGCACCGGGGCGGGGGGCGATCCGGGCCCGGGCCCCGCCGGGGTTATTTATACCGGGGCCGTAACCCGAGCCGCGGCGGGCCGGCCCCTCCCCGCGCCGCGCTCCGGGGGTGCCGCGGAGGGAGGGGGGGTGCGGAGCCGGGCCGGGGGTGTCCCCCGGATTGGGGGTCCCCGGGGCGAGGAGGGGACACGATCAGCGCCGGGCCCGCTGAAGGGCAGCCCCGAGGCCTGGCGGGGTGGGGGCACCCCTGGGTTCCCCCCCCCACCGGGGGTGGGAGCGAGCGGGGGGCTGCGGGGTGAGTTTTGGGGGTCCCTGTTGTCCCTCCGCCTTTGTCTCAGGGGTGGGGGGCTGGAGCTGACAGCTTGTCCCCACAGACAGCCCTCAGCGCCTTCTTCCAGGAGACCAACATCCCCAGCAGCCACCACCCCCCCCAGATGGTAAGTGGGACCCCCCCTCACCCCTGCACACCCCCAAACCCCTCCCCAGCGCCCCCAGCCCCAAAAACACCTTCACACCCTTCCCAGCGCCACCAAGCCCCCCGAGGGGTGCAGCCCCCGGCCCCCGAGCTGTCAGCTCCCTGCCAGCCATATTGCTGGGCGCCCGCAGGAGCACGCAGCCGGGAATGTAAACACGAGCTAAAATGTCTGCCAGGAAATAGTTTGTCTCGGCGAGCATCGCGCTGCAACTTGGGCTCCCCCCCCCGGGCCGGGGGGCCACGTCTGGACCCCCCTTTTCCCCCCCTGGCCGCTTGACCTTGGCCGAGGGCACATCCCCCTGGCCGGAGGGAGGAAGTTGTTCCCCTCCGGGTGTTTTGTTTTGTGTTTCTCTGCGGGTTTTCTTTCTTGTTTCCCCTCTCCCCCCCCACGCCATGCTCTGGTGTTGAGGGAACTGGACGCTGCCGGCGTGGGGGAAGGAGCAGGTCGGGGTTCAGGCGAATTTTCCCCCCTTTTCTCGTGTTGTCGGGAATCGCCAGCCTGCCCGGCGTTGCCGGCAGCGAGCGCGCTGGGTTTCCCTCGGAGAAAGTCGCTTTGTCAGCCAGCTCCCAGTAAAACCCCTTTTATTGCAATTCCTGCCCAGCCCGCACGCTTCCGAGCTGCCCCGGGCGGGCTGCAGGGTCTGCCGGGGGAAAAGCTGGAGATTCCCGGGGGAGCAGGAGGGAGCAGACCCAGGGTCTCCTGGTGGAAAAGCCAGATTCCCAGGGGGAAAGGGGCTGGGGAGCAGCAGGGAGCAGACCCAGCCCCTGCTGTTCCCACCCCAAAGCCTCCTCAGGGCAATTCCTGCCGGCAGAGTTCCCCCATCCCCGCACAGGGACCCCTCCCCAACCAAAACAGGCACCCCATTCCTCCCCAGGACCGAGGCACCTGGTTCTCCCCCCTCCTCAGCAGTGTGTGCTCCACGTGGTGTCAAAACACCTTCCACCTTCTCTCCAGACACTCCTGTCTTGGGGAATTTATTTGGTGTTTCCCTCCCCCTCCCCGGCACCCTGATTTGTGCAGTTTGAGATGAGGAGTTTGGGGCTAGCAGTTTCTATTTCTTTTTCAGGCGTCAGGGAACAAAGCTGTGAGTGCAGGCTGTGGTTTGATGGGCGGGGGCTCGTCCCTGTCACCTCCACCCCTTGGGGAGCCCCCCAAGCCCCCACAGACTCCAGGCTGTGGGGCCAGGGCTTGCCAGAGCTGTTTGGGGGGTCAGTGACTGACCCTCTGACAGCTCTCCCCAAGATGTGTTGGAGGAGGAAGGCAATAATCACATGGAAATTCTTATTTTTTAATTAATATTTCAAATTAATCTGGCAAACATCAGCCCAGAAGCTCAGAGCTGTGTCCAGCATCATTCCAGGGCTCACTGTGGTGGTGGTGGTTTTTTTCAAAACAGAGCAAATTTAAGGTTTTTGGGGTTTGTTGATTGGTTGGGGCTTTTTTTTCCCAACAAGTATTTTTTCAAATACTGCCAAATGTATAGGTTAATTTAAAAAGCAGAGGCTGAGCTCTGAAATGAGTTCTGTGGAGGAATATTCCTGGTTAACTATGAAGCTGTTCAGTGCCAGCCAGGCCGTGGTTGTATTTTTGGGGTGCCCCAGCTCCCCAGGCTGGTGAGAGCCAGCTGCTGCTTCCCTCAGGCTGGGGAGCACCCTGACTTCAGGGGTCTGGGCCCCCCAGCAAGGGTTTGCTCCTTTGATCCCAGCATCACTGGGATGGGGATGAGGAGGAACCTCTGGGAGGGATTTTGGGCTGTGCTGGCAGCAGAGGGGCTGCTGAGCACCAGCCAGGGGCAAATCCTGGGATAAGGCCCAGGAAGGGGGAGATGAAGCAGCTATTCCCCACCAGAAACATCTCATTCCCCCATTGCTAAAGGTGAGCACCAGCCAGGGGCAAATCCTGGGATAAGGCCCAGGAAGGGGGAGATGAAGCACCAGAAACGTCTCACTCCCCCATTGCTAAAGGCAGCAGACACTGTCCCAGCCCCCTGAAGTCCCCACAAACATCTGTCAGGAGCTGTGGCTCCAGGAGGGCAGCAGGGATTTGGGATGGATTTAGGCAGAGGGGTGAAGTCTCCCTGTGCACGCACCCCTCCCTATCCAGGCATCCCCTGCCTGTGTGTGCATCCTCATGGGATTTGCATACACACCCCTGTGCCCCTTGTAGCCCCTCCCCAGTTCTCAGTTCAGCCAGTTCTTGGCTGATTTGGGATCCCTGTGCCAGCCTCGGAGCAGGGCTGGGTCCTCCCCAGTGGATTTTTCCTCTGCTGGAAAAAGGGACGGATCCATCACTGTCCCAGTGCTAAATTTAGCTGGGTACCAAGAAGGCAGGGCCTGTACCAGGAACTGGGGGGGCCCTGCTTGCCTCGTGCTCTCTCTGCCGTTGTGGGGTGAAGGGGAGCGGGGTGAGGGACCTGGTGAAAGGACCCCAGCACCCTCCATGCTGGACCCCTTTGTGTCAGCCCTGTTCGTGCTGCTCCCCAAACCCGCCTCATCCATGGGATGGTCCAAAATGTCCTTCCCAGACTGGCTGGATCCTCTCCCTGGGCACCCCACACCTTTGGGGGAGCCACACATACCCCTGGGGGTCCGTCCTGTATCCCACACCTGGCACCTTTGGGAGGGTACCAGCTGTGGGATACAGGACGGATCCCTTGGCTGTCGTGGGTGGGTTGGGACCCCCAAAAAAACCCCTCTGTGCCTGAGCTGACAGTTCTGCTGTGCCCTGCAGATGTGCACCCCCAGCAACACGCCGGCCACGCCGCCCAACTTCCCGGACGCGCTGGCCATGTTCTCCAAGCTGCGCACCTCGGAGAGCCTGCAGAGCAGCAACAGCCCCATCACCTCCATGGCCTGCTCCCCCCCGGGCAGCTTCAGCCCCTTCTGGGCCTCCTCGCCCCCCAGCCACCAGCCAGCCTGGCTGCCCCCCTCCTCGCCCACCGCCCACGGCCTGCACCACCACCTGCACCACGCGCAGCCCTCCTGGCCGCCCACCCCCCCGGCCCCTGCCCCCCCACAGAAAGCCGTGGCCACCATGGATGGGCAGAGATAAGGCTGGGGGGGTCAGGGGGGGCCGGGCCGGGGCGTTGGGAGCAGGGGCTCTCGCCGAGAAACGCACTGGAAGAATTTTCTAGGTTTTATTATTATTTTTAGTGTGGGGTGGCGGCGGGGGAGCATGTGCTGCCAGGGAGGGCACTGACCTGTGAGAGCCTCTGGCTGCTCTCTACTCCCCTCCCCTTTTTTAAAAAAAAATATATAACTATAATATATAAATATATCTAATGTATATAAATCCAGAGAGAAGGAGCAGCGGCGTGGAGGCAGCTGCTGGGTGTCTGGGGCTTTTCCCTGTGGCTCTGTCCCCACCCAGCATCTCTACATCGGGGCAGGAGAGGGAAGGGGAGGACAGGAATAACAAAAATAACCGGATGGAGGTGGCTGTTGGCACCCCAGATCACAGCCACAGGGACATGGAGCCACTGGACACCCTCCCCAGCTCTGGCTCCCTGGGCACTTGTTGCAGTGCCCAGAGCAAAAGCAGCTCTCTGGCTCCTGAAATTCAGCCCGGCTTCTTGCACAGACCCCCCCTGGACTTGCCCCCAACCCTGTCCTCCCTCCCTCAGCACCCCCAGGGCCTGGGGGTTTATCAAAGTGATGTCCCCCTGTCCCTGTGACTGCCCTAAGTGGTGCTTCCCCAGGCAGGGGGGAGCTGGGGGTTTTTTAGTTTTCAAAAAAAAAAACAAAAAAAAAAAAAAAAATCACTTTTTTAACACCAGCTGTCCCTGCCTTTTCTCTCTGCTGGGAGGGTGTCCCTGGCAGGGCACTGAAAATATGGGTGACTCCTCTGTGAGGCAGTGCCATCAGCTCTGCCTGCACAAGCCACCTCTGCTGTCCCCAAAGAGGGGGAACAGAGAGAAGGGAAGACCCAGGGCCATGGGGGTGCTGTGCCAGCACAGCCAGGAGCCCCCGTGTGCCAGGGGGTGCAGCTGACAGCCCTGCCTGCCCCCTCACAAAATGTCACAGCTTGCAAAAGCCCCCCAGCCCCATCACCCACCCTGGGATGAGCCCCCCAGCCTCAGCACTGTGGGGACACTGGGGCAGGGGATGGTGTCCTCTGAGTGTCCCCTCTGCAGAAAGGTCACCAGCCAGAGGACATGGGAGCTCAGCAGGGCTGTGGCCACGACATTCACACACCAAACAGCCAGGATAAACCCCAAAATGGGAGCACAGCAGCTCTGGGAATGTCAGGAATGACAGGGGGACTCAAGGCACAGTGCAAAGCTTCCTGCAGGGATGGGGAGCTCCCCAGGATGGCACAAACTCCAGGGAGAAAAGGCAGAAAAAATCTATCTGGGGTTGCTTTACCTGCTCCAAACATCACCCAGGGCTGGGGGTGGTTGTAGGGTGCACCTGGATCCTGGGGGCAGCAGAAGGGGCAGGAGGAGGAGGAGCACCAAAGAGGAGACCCCAGCTGGGCCACGTCCTGCAGAGGCGATCTGTCCCAAAGGTGATTGGTTTTACACCCCTCAGCCCCAGCCAGGAGTGCAGGATGGCTCTTTGTTGGCTCTGCCCTGGTTTGTTGGCTCTGCCCTGGTGCCCAGGGCTTTGCTCAGGGTGTTCCCAGTTATCCTACAGGAGGTGGCACTGGGGAGATCCCAGATCCAGCTCTGTCCACCTCAGTACCCCCAAAGAAGGTTTTGAGCACCTGGTTTTCCCCTGAAAACCCAAAGCCAGCAGGGAGAAGATTCCAGGGGGAGCTCCCGGTGCCTGTGGAGTGCAGTGCAGCTGACAGGGACGGAGGCTGTCCCTGCGGGGGGACAGCCTGGGGACACCCACCAGGCGAGCAGGGGATGTCCCCCATAAGCTCTGGGGCCCCCCGAGGTTCCAGTGGGGTTCCCCTCCGGCTTTCTCACCCTCCCACTCACCCGAGAGCTGTGTCCCCCCCCAGGAAGTGTCACTGTGTGTAGAGGGGACATCCCCAGTCCCCTGCGGGCACAGCCACGTGTCCCCAGCTGTGACACCCCTCGGTGCCCGGGGGTCGGGGTTGTCCTGCCCGCTTCCTCAGCACGCACTGGGGCTTCCTCCCATCCACGGGGAGGGTGGCACAGGGAAGGTGGCACCGGGAGGATGGCACGGGGAGGATGGCACTGGGAGGATGGCACGGGGAGGATGGCACGGGGACGGTGGCACTGGGAGGATGGCACAGGGACGGTGGCACTGGGACACCCCTCGGTGCCCGGGGGTCGGGGTTGTCCTGCCCGCTTCCTCAGCACGCACTGGGGTTTCCTCCCATCCACGGGGAGGATGGCACTGGGAGGGGAGGGTGGCACAGGGAAGGTGACACTGGGATGGTGGCACAGAGGGCCAGGAGAAGCAGCCCCAAGCCCTGGGGTGGCACCAGGGGAAGGAGGGTTCGTGTCCCTCTGCTGTTGGGAGGTGGGAGCAGAGGGGTCCGTGCTTCCATGGCAGCGCTGCGGGAGGGACGGGGGGTGCCAGGGGGGTTCTGCACTCAGGGTGAGGAAGGCAGCCCGGCCGTGCTCATCCCGGGATAAGCGGCAGCAAACCAGCTGGGATTTGGCACCAAACTGTGCTCTGCTGCTGAGGTCCCCATTTCCCCCTTCCCCAGCAGCAAATGAGCTCCTCCTCCTCTTGCTGTTTCGTGTCCCTCTGCTGTTGGGAGGTGGGAGCAGAGGGGTCCGTGCTTCCATGGCAGCGGTCTCCTGCTTCCCCCTTTTGGGGGTCCCCCGGCAGGGCCAGGGGTTGCACGACCCCCGGGGGCTGACCCAGAGCCTGGGAGGTGTCAGGGGTGCTTTCAGGGCAGGGGATGCTGCTCGGTGTGCACGAGGGGCAGATCCCGCTCTGGTGGGCTCCCTTTATTGCTGCAGGCCGGCGCTGCTTGCTCAGTCCGTCGGGGAAGTCCGGCCCCGGTACAAGACTCCATCCTTGCCCATCAGGTCGTACGTGCCGGGCTGGGAAGGAGGGGACGGGCTGGCTCTGCCGCTCTGGGCTGCACCCAGCACCCCCAGGGCAGCCTCCCCGCCCGGCTCCTCCGGGGACACTGAGGCACAGATGTGCCAGCATCACTGTCCCGGCCTCGTCCCCACCGTCCCCGTCCCCATCCCTACCATGTTGGGGTCTGGGAGGAGCGGCTCCATGGGCTGCACGGGGCTGACGCTGGTGTGTTTGCCGCCCGAGTACATCGGTGATCTGCGGTAATAGCCCTCGGCTGGCTGCTCCCTGTGGGACCGGGCACGGGGGGGCTCAGTGCCCTGGCACCCTGGCACCCTGTGCTCCGTGCCCTGGCACCCTGTGCTCCAACCTGCTCTGCCAGGAGGGGTGCAGGGGGTGCTCCCCCTCCTCCAGCTGCTGCAGGAGACCCCTGCCCACCCAGCCCTGCAGGATCTGCCCTTTCCCCACAGCCCCAAGAGCTGCCCATGGCCCTGACAGGTCCCGGTGCCCTTTGCAGGGGACGCCAGGAAGCAGGAGCAGGCCTGTCCCAGCTCCAGGGCTTGATTTTGGGAACTCCTTTCACACGAGGCACCAAGTCCCCAGCAAGGCTGAGCTGAGGCTGACACCAGACACAACTCATCAAACCCCTCTGACCTGGGGCGAGCCCAGCTGACCCTCTGCCTCTGCCTGGGCACCTCCAGCCTCTTCCACCCCAGCCAGGAGAGCTCTGCTTGCTGGGACAGGGCTCCCCAGGGCCAGGGTGGCTCCCCAGGGCCCAGGGTGGGTGCCCAGCTCCCTACCTGGGCTCCTGCCTGCGGAGCTGGGGCAGGCGCATGGAGAGGCCGGGGGATGCCGGTGGCGTGGATGAGATGAAGTCAGGGCGTCTGGGAGGGTGACAGGGGCCACGGGGTGGGTGACAGGGCCAGAGGAGCCAGCCCTGAGGCTGCAGGGCACTGCCAGCACCCCTCTGGCCCTGTCCCACCCCCGTGCCCCGGTGCCACTCACTGGCCAGGCAGCTTCACAAGCGGTTCACAAGGTGAGTACTCGGAGGAGGGCACCCTCAGGAGCATCCTGAAGCAGGGAGAAAAGACTGGGCAGGCTCCTGGGGCACACAGCCCTGACTGGGCAGAGCCAAGAGCTGGGCCAGGCACTGCAGGGACCTGGGGAATTTTCAGGGGAATCTTGGGGTGCTGAGCCTGGATTCTCCACCACCACCACAGCACAGTCCAACCCGCTGGCTGGTTACAAAATAAAGGGGGTGTGATTTGGGAAATGGGCTATTCATGGAGTCCCACCTGGGACAAAGCTCCAGCTCGTATTGGACAATGGTGAATCCACAGGGGGAAGCTCCCAAAAGCCACTGCTATGGGAATGTCTCCCAGGGGCAACCCAGTCCCATGGGACCTGGGGCAGCTGGCAAGGTCAGAGGACACAGCTGCCATCCCAACCAGCCTCACACCTCTCTTGGTCACCCCCCTGTGCCCTGCCAGGAGGGCAGGTCACCACCTGACTCTGGCACTGCGTGTCCCAGCCCTGCCAGGGGACGAGCCAGTGTCCCCCACACTTGTCACAAAAGCTTTTGCACCTACAGTCCAGCTTCAGCTGGGTATGCCTCCATCCTGACGCCGCCTCCATGTGCCTCCTTGGATGGTGGGAGCCTGCTGCCACTGGGAGGAAATCACCATCAGCATCCCCATGGCCCCAGCAGTGGATAATGGATCCAACGCCAGGGCACCACACGGGCCCAGCCAGAGGGAACAGGGCCAGTGGTGTCCCCAAAGCCACTGCTGTCCCCGTGACACTCACCTGCTAGGCCCAGCCACGCTCTCGGCTGGGATCCAGAGGTTCTGGGATCCTGGGTGGCCTCGTACTGACTGCACCCGCTGCCCTGGGACATGGCTGCCAGGGGCTCTTGGGTGCATTTCTGAGGTGGTCAAACTGCCATCCAAACCCTTTTTCTGAACATGGGGAGCAGCCTGAGCAAGCAGAGCAGGGTTTCAGCCCCAGCTCTCACCTCTAGAGCTCCACCCCTTTCCCTCAAGGAAGCCCCCTGTGCCACTGTGAGCTTGGTCTTAAACCAGACCTTGGTCTAAGGGCAGCAAGAGGGGGTGCAGACCCCAAAGGAGGGGGTGGCTCAGGGGCTGGGAAGAGTTCCTACCTTGGAGATGCCCATCTTGGTCTCTTCTTCCTTGATCTCTCCCATGCTGGTCACCTCAGGGGGAATACCCAGGGGGCTGGGAGGAGCCTCTACCTCAGAGATGTGTATCTCGGTCTCTTCCTTCTTGATCTGTCCCATGTCATCCTGTCCCATGTCCTTCTGTCCCATGTCATCCTGCCCCACGTCGTCCTGTTCCACGTCCTTCTGTCCCATTTCATTCCATTCTCTGTCACTCCATCTCACATTCCTCCCCATGCCCTTCTGTCCCATGTCACTCTGTCCTGCATCGCTCCACTGCCCATTTCGTCTCATGTCCTTCTGACCCATGTCATCCTGTCCTAGCTCATCCTGTCCCACGCCATTCCGTCCTCTGGTGCTCCATCTCCCGCTCCTTCCCGTGTCCTTCTGCTCCGTGTCATTCTGTCCCATGTCACCCCCTTGCCCATTTCGTCTCGTGTCCTTCTGTCCCATGCCCCTGCGTCCCACGCCGCCCCGTCCCCCGTTCTGTCCCGTGTCATTTTCCCCGATGGACACGATGTCACTGCCCGCATTCTCTTCCTTCCCCTTGCCCTGTGTCTTGCCGTTGGGGGACAGGGGGCTGGCAGGCTGGCTGTCCCCGTGCCTTGGTGTCTTGGGCTTTTCCACGAGGGTGACTGGAAGAAGAAACCAGAGGGAGCTGCCCGGGGCCAGGGGGAGCGTGGCTGGGGGACAAGGCAGCGGTGCAGCCCCCTGCCCGGCCCGCTGTGCCCTCTCTCCCTCCCCAGCTGTGCCCAGAGGTACTTTCGTTGCCGATGACAATCAGCCCTTGGTCATCCTCTGAGTCCAGGAGGTGGTGGCCAGACTTCTTGTCTCGGGAGCTGGGCCCAGCCAGCATGTTCTTCATGGCAGACTGGGAAGGAGAGGATGGGCTGGCTGCCACACTGGGCTGCACTCAGGATCCCCCAGCCAGCCTTCCAACCCAGCTCTTCCTGGGGAAACTGAGGCACAGATCCCCCCCCCGCCCGGCTGCTCAGCATCAGCCTCCCAGACTTGGTTCCCTTTCAGTGTTTCCTTTTGAGGCTGAACAGCCCCAGCACCCTCAGCCTTTCCCCAGGACAGAGATGCCCCAGTGCCCAGACCATCTTTGAGGCCCTCCACAGGACCCGCTCCAGCAGCTCCGTGTCCCATCCCGAGGAGCCCAGAGCTGGACCCTGCTCCAGGGCAGGCCTGGCCAGGGCTGAGCAGAGGGGCAGCCTCAGCCCCAGACCTGCTGGAGATGCTCTCCTGAGGCACCCCGGGCCCAGTGCCCTTCCCGTGCCCCGGGCACAGCGCTGCTCGTGCACAGCCCCAGCTCCTTCCCCACGGAGCTGCTTTTCCAGCCGGGCAGTCCCGGCCTGGGCTGGTGCCTGGGCTGTTCCTCGCAGCTGAAGGACCCTGCACCTGCCTGTGCTGAGCTTCAAAATGTTCCTCCCCAGCCAGTTTAGCCCTTTGGGCACCTCCATGATCATGGTTTTCACAGCCAACCCAGGGGATCAGCAAACACCCAACTGATGCCATCTAATACAGCAGCAAGGCATTCTTGCCTCCAGAAATGGGACTCAGTATCCCAGACCTGCCCCGTGACATCCCTCTGCTGTCCCCCAGCCCTAGCCACCACTCCAGAGAGACCTGGAGGGCAGGGAGCCCTGGTCCTGCCTGGTGCTGAGCAAGGAGGGGCTGTGGTGCGATGTCAGCGCAGCCAGGCCGCACCCAGGGAGGTACCAGCTCCTGCTGCTTGTCCCACCACCCTGAACATTCCCTTTTCTGAGCAGAAACCAAGCTGGGATCACGCCAGGCCAGCTGAGGAGCTGCCCTGGCTCAGCCTATCCAGGTCCTTCTCCTTTGGGATGCACAGGGAAGGGGAGTCCCGAGCAAGCTCGGCAGAGGCGCTGGGGTGCAGGGGGCTGCGATCCCCCTCCACTGCCAGGCCTTGACCTCCTCTTCCTCCTCCTCCTCCTGCTTTCCTGCCCACGCAGTCCTCCAGCACGTCCCAGCACACCGTGTTTCTCACCTCCTCTGGGGATGGGGAGAGCATCAGCCTCTTTTCCAGATTTAATTTTGGGAAGGAAGGCATCAGAGCCATCTGTGTAACTGGGGGCAGGACAGGATCCAGAGGAGTGTTGATCCCCTTCCCCACCCCAGAACATCTGGGGACCCTGTCCTGATGTGAGGGGACCCTGCCCTGGAGCAGGCCCTGCTCAAGGACATACCATGAGAGATTCCATCAGCTGGTTACGGAGCTCATCCATCATGTTCTGGAAATCTTCCTGGAGGAGGGTGAGGACAGGGACAGGAGTCAGAACACAGGAGCAGGATTTAAAAGGGACATTTGCAAATTAACTTGGACATCAGACAGAGGGGTCCTGGACAGGGCTATGCCAAGTGGCTGTGGCTGTATTTCACAGGTGGACCTTTGTCTCCTCACCTTCCCTGGACCCAGATTACTTTTTTTTTGATGGCTGTTTAGCTCACAAATGCCTCAGCAGCCCTGTCTGAGGGAGGCAGTGATCTCAACCACTTGACCTGTGGGCAGTGGTGCCCTTCTGCCCTTCCCGGGGCAGTGCTGGCAGAAGGAAAGTGGGGGGCTCCAGGTGGGTTGGGATGAGCACCCACCTTCTGCTCTCTTCCCTCCTGGTGCCCTTCACACTGGGAGCCTGCAAGGGCTGCAGGGCAGGGGCAGCAGGGCAGCACAGTGAGGGGCAGCTCAAGGGGGTCCATGCTAAAATTCTCACCATGTTAAAGTTCTGTAGCATATACTGCATGTCCTCTGCCATGTGGGACTGCTCCAGCTTCACCTCGTTGACCTCCTCACGCAGCTCCTGGCAAAGAGCCCTCACCTGGGAGAGGGGGATGGAGAGCTGAGCCCCAGGGCAGGGTCCCAGGTCCTTTGCAGCCACCAGGGTCTGCACAGGGCCAGGGGCAGCTCAGGGCCTGGGCAGTGCTTGGCCTTCAGCACATCCTCAGCAGCAGCTCCCCAGCAGCACGGGGGGTTCAGATTCCAGAGGAAGGGGTGGCTTGGGGGGAGCACCTGGGGCTGGGAAGAGCCTCTACCTCGGCGAGCTCTTTTTCATTGGCTTCCACTCTCTCCTTTAACTCCTTAAGGAAAGCGAAAGGGCTTTCCTCGGCCCCCTCCAGTGGCTCCCCGTTCTCCTGGACGAGCAGATCCCGCAGACCCAGGTGCAAAAGCATCCCATTCAGGAGGTTGTGCAGCTGCTCAAAGTCGATGATTCCAGCTCTCGATGACCCAAGGGCAGCATCCAGCATCTGGCCAAGAGTGAGCATTGCCATTGCTGCTGGTGTGTCCAAAAGCTGCCAGGAACAGGAGGCTCCTGTGCTATTGCCCCGGAGAGGAGCAGGCAGGGTGGTGGGAGGTGTTAAAAGGAGGAGAAGGAAGAGGAAGAGGTGCACAGCCAACAGGGTCCTTCCTCTTCAGTCTCCTCCTTGCTCCGGAGCCTGTGCCTCTTGTGTCCCTCTTTACAGTGTCCCCCTGCCCAGGCAGAGAGTGCCCATTGTTACACAGCAATGGCTCAGCCCTGTGTGGAATGTCCCCATTGTCCCCATTGTCCCCTGCTGCTGCTGATGTCCTGGTTCCAGCAGGACCTGCAAGGGACCATGTGCCACAACACCTCCAGCCTTTACCAATTTCAGCCCCAAAATGACTCCAAGGACAGCTCACACGGGGCAGGTGGTGCCCCAGGAGCTGCTCACAGGGTGAGTTGAGCCTGCCCAGGAGAGCTGTGCCCTGTGGAGGGCTGATCCATGTTCTCACCCAGCCCGGAGCATTCCAGAACACTCCAGGAGGAGACCAGCCCCAGAGAGGAAGCACCTCCAGTCATTCCTTTTTGGGGTCTCAAAAGGATGAGTTTCCCTTCTCCCTTAGATCTGGGAAGGGTGGAAAGCTGCTGCTGACTCCACCAATACACAGATTTTCAGTGCCTCACTTCAAAGCCAAGAGCCATAGAAGCAGGGAAAAGCAGATAAACACAAGCAATTTAAACTTCTGAGGAGAGGGAGAAAGGAAGGAGCAAAGGAAGGAAAACAGAGTTTAAATTGTGGCTGCCATGGGCTGTTAAGAAATCGCTGTTTCCACATGTAGTTCAGGGAAATTTAACTCACGAGCTGTCTGTTGGGGTAGTTGTGTAATCCACGGGCTTTTCATCAGGGAAGTTTAATTTGTGGGCTGCTCAAAAAAGTTGCCACGTGTTGTTCAGAGAATTTTAATCCACACGCTGTTGAAACAAACTTAATCTGTGGGCTGTTCCTTGGGGAAGTTTAATCCACGTGTTGTCCAGGGAAATTGAATCCACAGGCTGCTCAGGAGGGTTTAAATTGTTGCCGCCAGTCTGTACAACCTATCACAAGGTTTAAATCCTTGCTGCTGAAAACATCCAACTTTCTAATTGACTGTTTGGTGCTGTTTTGCCTTAATGCAGCTCCAGGACATCCTGAAGGTCCAGGACCACCCTCTCATGGTCCATGCTGCCAGAGCCAGGTCCTGACCTGCCCTCCTGCAGGGCACAGGGGGGGCCTGGTGCTGACCAAGCAAGGACACAGGTGTGAGGCTGGTTGGGATGGCAGCTGTGGGAGCCTGAGCCCTCCACCTCCCATCCCTGGGTGTCCTGGGCAGCCACGAGCAGCTGCTCCTTCAGAGGGGCTCCATCCTGGAGCTGCCCACTCCTTGTGCCTCCCTGAATGTCAGAAACCTGTTGCCACTGGGAGGACATCACCAGCACCCCCACAGTTCCATCACTGGCTAAATGGGTCTGATGCCAGGGCATCACCTGGCTCCTGGCTATGACAGCCAGAGGGAACAGGGCCAGAGCTGTCCCCAAAGCCATCGCTGTCCCCATGGCACTCAGCTGAGTCCCACCACACTGTTGGGCAGAGGGTCTGTGCTGCTGGGTGGCCTCGTGCTGGCTGCACCCACGGCATGGAGGTGCTGGGGGATCCTGGATGAACACCCCAGGGCGCAGGACATGGCCTTGCCTTTGTTGAATTCCAAAAGGTTCTTCCCCAGCCAAGGGCTTCAGGCACCCAGGAGGGGCTGTGTGGGATGGAGGGGCTGGGCTGGGATCCAGTGCAGCCTGGCCCAGGCTCCTGCTGTTTCTCCCATCACCCTGAGCACAGCCCTTCTCTGAGCAGGAAACAGAGAGCACACTGGAGCTGCCCTGGCTCTGCCTGTGCCAGGCTGTGCCTCCTGGTGGGTGTGCAGGGAGCAGGAGCAGACCTTGGGGGTTAGGGCCAACAAAATGGGAACAAATGGCAAGCTGTCACTGCTGATGTGTGTGTTGTACAGGAACAACAGGGATTTATTTGTGAAAGTAACACCAATCTAATGCCCAAGACATTTGTCTTGGCACTGAACAAAATGCTTGTCATTTTGAAATACTGGTCCTGCTGAATGCTTGTAACTGTACTTACATACATTGGGAAGAGTAAGAACTATTTGTGATTCCACAGAGACCACACCACTATAGAAATAAGCCAAACATTTGGGTTTGTAGTTTTCTCCAGATTTGGAGGATGTGACTTCATCTATTCAGTTCTGTCACAACCCATGAATTGCAACAATCTACCTACACATCCCAGCAAGATTTCCTGCTCACCCCCACTGGAATGAACCTTGCACTGGTGGAAAAATTACTGCAGCACAAAGAGCTGTGTTCACTGCTGGAAGGTGGCTGAAGCAATGGACACAGAGCTCTAACCACAATTCATCAAGTACAGAATACATATATCATGGGATGAGAAATGGAGAACATCACTGGTGGGGTGCTGTTTGCAACAGGAATTCCAGATTTAACATTGCATCCTGTTGTAATTTTGCTGATTTCTGTCATTTTATGCTTAATGTACTGTAGTGTTCTGTATGCAGGAGTGTTAATATTAGCTAGACAGGTAGCACTGTCCCACAGATGTCCTTGCATACATAATATTGTTCCCTCACATTCAACAGTCTTAAAAATCACAGTATTTTGTCAACCTGATCAAAAATTTCTCACAATTTTTAAGTTGGACATAATAAATCTGTGTTTATAAGCACAGAGGCAAGAGGTGACCACATGGCCACTCTGTGGAGCAAGACAAGTTGTTTTTAGTCACAGGGTGGACTCTGGTGGTGCCTTCCCCCAGCTCTTGAGCTGCACTATGATCTCAGAAATGCTTGTTAGGCCTTGGCCTTGAGAACAGCACTTGGGCTGAGCAACTCTCAATCTTATCAGAAACACTGTCTGCTCCCAGGAACTTGTGCTGTCTAACAAACTCCTGATTCTTACAAACAGCCTTGGAAAACTGTTTTTCTTGCCTGAATAACAACCCGAGCAGAACAACATTTTTGTTATTGAACTTTCAAAGAAAGCTGCTGACCTGAATTGTGGCCAGGATGGAAAGGAATTACAACCATTCCTTGAGGCTCCACTCTTTGCCTGTTGAGAAGATGCAAAGACATCTGATGTATTTCCAGGAGCTTGAGGGGAATTCTTCAGAGGTTCCTTGTACAGGCTGCTTCAGGTCTGTGTGTGAGTGGGAATGCACAACAGCAAATCTACTGTGGACATTGCTCTCCTAGCTCCTGAAGTACTTTAGATTTTAAGTAAATGCCATATGAAATTGTTAAATTGTTTAACTTCAGCATAAGCAACAGTTTAACAGCTTATGCTGTTAAACCTTTGGGCCTAAACTGTTGGTCAAGTCTGGGGCTCAGTTTTGCAATGGGGTCTACTCTGAACCTTGTTTCCTTTTTATCCTTGCCCTTTCCTACCCTTCCCCTTCCCCCCTCCCTAGCCTCAATGTTGATAATTTTTTGATTGATTTTGGGTTTAGATTGCCTGGTTTTAGATTTTAGTTTGCTTTTACCACACAGTAAGTAGTAGAGTGAACCTTGCCAACAACTCTGTGGAACTTTCACTTCTATACTAAACCTGCTTTTGCTGATACCTTTGCTGGTGATTTTTCATAAAACACTCACTCATGACAAGGGCCCAGGGCACACAGGCACAACCCTCTGCTCAGTGGTGCTGTGATTCTACGGTTCCTACCCAAATACAGCCCAGCAAAAGCAAGCCTGAATGGGGCAACAACTCTCAACGAGCCCCAGCGTTGCTCTTGGCAGGTCTGACAAGCACTTTGAAGGGGAGAGAACAACAATACTGCTCCCACTTTTAACACTGCCTTCCAGGATGAACATTGTCCAGCACTGGCTCAGAATAAAGGGGGCACAGACATCTGCAAGGACTCCACAGCTCCAGATCCTCTGTTCAATACTTGCAGTACAGCATTATGTTACCCCTCCAGGCCAAGGAGCCAGGCTGTGGTCACAGCACAGCTGAGTTTTGAGTTCTGTTTGTGGTACTTTGAAAATGCAGGAAAACCCACCAACAGGTTTGATAACTCACTGAGTTCTGCACACCCCTCATGGAATTTGGCATGGAGGTTTAATCCATGCTGGGTACTGAAGGTGGTCCAAGCACTCCATGCCAAGGTCCATTTGCTTGCCTGGCATTCAAGGCTTGTCCTGCTCAGTCACTGCTGGCCCCTTGGCACATTTTATATGTTAGAGTGGAATAGAAGAGGGTAATATAAGGATAACCAAAACGTAACAATTAAATAGTTCCTGTGCTGTTGAAGCAACTGCTTCCAGCAGCTTTTATTTGTTCCTCACATCAGCAGACTAGTGGTGTAGGCTTTTCTGGAGTGTGTTTGTCTCATCAAGGGGGAAGATCAGTTTGGGAGTTTATCCTTACATCATCCTGGAAACAAAGCCTTCCACATGCATCTTGTGCTGCTTCCTCAGGTGTCCCCTCCACCCAAAAATTAGCATCACTCAAGAAAGGAGTGATCAGCCAGTCCTACATCCATGGAAGAGGGCTGCAAGCTGCCAAGTGAGCCTTGTTACAGCAGCAGCCCCACTGAACACACACAGCAGCTCTTCAGAGGGCACAGGATTCACAGGAAGCACCAAAACTGAAAAATCTTAGACTTTTTATTGCAGGTTCAGTGTTAGTGTTTTGGAGAGCACAGCTGCATTAGAAGCAGATATTGTTCCAACTTCCCTTCCCCACAAGACTCTGCCACAAACTCAGCCCCAGGCAACTCCAAAAATCACGCCTAGTTTTGCAGTGCAGACAAGTGTTCCAGAGAGGACCAAGACCCTCACGTGATTGGTCACTGAAGAGCAAAAATGATCCAAAGCTCGCAAAATGAAAAGGCCAACACATTAACTAGCATTCCCTGCTCTGCTGGGACACACACAGAGCCTGTTCCCAGCTCCCTGGCCCAGGGATGGGAGCAGCCCTGCCAATGGGGTGCCCCAAGCCGTCCTTTCGGGATGTTCCGCTAACTTAGTTTTGATGAAAGTCCCTGCTCTGCTGTGCAGGAGAGGAGAGGCCACTGAGCTGGCACGGAGCTGCTGTTGGCTCAGCTCTGCCAGCAGCACAGCCTGAACATTCCCTTCTGTGCTCTGGGGTGAGACACAGGCAGAAACAACCCCAGAGGCTGCTCTCGCTGCCCACACAGCAATGAGCAGTCCCTGTTCCCTTCTCACAAGCTGACAGCTACTTCTGTTTAGCTTTTCTTTCTGCCCCTACAGGGCAAGAGAAAACACACTAAAAAAAATCATTAAAGGAACTTAAAAATTCAAAACCACCTCATTTCTCCATCTCTCTCAATTAAGGTGTAATTCCCCCCACTGCCAGTGGCCCCTTCTATTGACTTGTAAAGTGCTGGTCAGGTTGATTTTTTTTTCTATTAGATCTCACGGCTCAAGACCCTGAAAACCTCAACACTCCTACAAAAATAAACAGCTGTGTTATGCCTATGTTTTATGGTATTGCCTTTCCATGCAGATTTCCTTCTCTTGTGGAACCCAGGAGAGGGGCAGGCCCAGGTCTAGTCGTCGACGGTGATGTTGCGGAAGAGATAAGCCATGGACTCGCCGTTGTGGATCCGC